ATAAAAAAAAATTTAAAAGACAAGAACACTAAAAGTCAGATATATATTATTCTTTTGGTAATAAAGTTTTTTTCAGTCTTTTTTGAAACAGGGTCTCCCTGTAGCCCCAACTGGCCTGGAGCTCACTATGTAGACCAGGCTGGCCTTCAACTCAGAGATTCGGCATGCACCACCACACCTGACTGGTAATAAAGAATTTCCTAAGCATAATAAGCTAAGCCAGAAATCATCCCACAGTGACAAGTCTGATAAATCTGACTACATAAAAACTCCTACTTTTCGGCTGAAGAGACTGCTCAGTGGGTAAAGTACTTGCTGCACAAGTGAGTCCCTGAGCTTGCATCTCCATACAGAAACCAGGAGCAGTGCTGAGGAGAAACAGAAGGACTCCCAGAGGCCTACCAGCCAGCGAGCTCTAGGTTCAGTGAGAGATGTTGTCTCAAAAAATAAAAAGGTGGAGAACTGAGTGAGGAAGACATCCTGATGTCAATCTCTGGTCCCTGCAGGGGAGTGCACCTACAAGTGTGTACATACATACATACATACATACATACATACATACACACACACACACACACACACACACACACACACCCTCCTACTTGGGGCTGCAAATGTAGCTCAGTTGGAAGAATGCTTGCTTAGTGTGGTAGTGTGAATGAGAATGCCCCCCCCCATAGCCTCCAAGTATTCAAACATTTTGTCATTAGTTGGTGGTGTTTGGGGCTGTCTTAGAGGGTGTAGCCATGCTGGAGGAAGCACATCACTTGGGGGCGGGCTTAGAGAGTTCTTAAGCCTACAGGATCTCTAGTAGCACTCTGCTTCCAGTGCCTGCTTGAAGATATGAGCACTTAGCTTCTGCTCCTACTCCAGCCACCTCTGCTGCCATGCCTCCCCACCATGATGGACTCCAATTCCCCTGGAACCATAAGCTAAATAAACTCTTCGTTCTATAAGATGCTTTGGTTTCTATCACAGCAACAAAAAAGTAACTAATACACTAGTATGTAAGAAACCCTCAGTTTGATTCCCAGCATAGTACAAAGCAGGGTATGTTGGTGAATGCCTGTGGTTCCAGCACTCAGAAGGTAGAGGCAGGAGGAACAGAAGTTCAAGATTATCTTCAGCTACATATCTAGTTCAAAGCCAGGTTGGGACATGAGACCCAAAACAAACTCCTACTATTCAGTAAATGTAGATAGAAATAACAAAGTACCTATGTAGTTCACATGTATTTTTTTACATTTACATTTTAGTCAGTTGTCCCCCCACCATCGCCAAACTGTCAACCAGTGTTTCTCGCTAGATAGGAAGACTCTAGATAAACATCATTAGCATTTATCTTTTCTATATACCCTAGTTTCTCTAATAGTAACATATTGTTTCTATTATCTTAAAATGACATCTATCTGGGCTGGAGAGATGGCTCAGTGGTTAAGAGCACTGGCTGCTCTTGCAGAAAACCTGGGTCTGAATCTCAGCACCCACACGGTGGCTAACAACCATCCTTAACTGGTTTCCTTAACTGCCCTCTTCTGTTTGGACCTCCACAGGCATTACATGCATGGGTGCACTTACATACATGCAAGCAAAACACTCATACACCTAAAAATATACAAAATTTTTGAATGCTATTATTATTTACACTAAGAGAAATGAATGGACTACAAACATTGTTATCAAAAAAATCAGGTCAGATGGTGTTATTCAATAAATTTTAGTGAAAACAGTTTTCAGAGTTTTTCATGTTTTGAAATTATAAAGAATTACGGGGCTGTCTCTGCAAGAGGTTCACTTTCACCTAAACGGGAAATTTCCTTCATCACTAAAGAAAATTTGTTTTCTTTAAGATTTCCTAATTATCAAAATGTAAGTTTTGGGATCAATGAAATGGCTCATTGGGTAAAAGTGCTTACTGCCAAGCCTGAAGACCTGCGCTCAATCCCTGGAATCCATGTGGTAAAAAGACAGAACTTGATCCCACATGTTTTCTTCTGACTTCCATATAAATGAAGGGTGTACACACACACACACAAAAAAAAAATTTAAATTACAAAAGCAAATCTCTCTCAAAACAATTTTATGTAATACCAAGCAGCTCACATTCTATAATTACAATAGGGGTGATTTCTCTTCAGATTTATTTTAGTGTCCACATAAAGCAACTAGCCTCTGCAAAAAAAACAAGATAATTTAGTCTGTATACTATGATAGTCTTGGAATCCAGCCCTAAACATACTTGATAGTGATTATCACTTATGACAGCAAATTCAAAATGATGATATGCATTCAAAATTGTGAAACAAGAAATAGCTATAAAAATAATTTCCTTCTCCAAAGAAAGCTTAAAGCAATTAAAATTATGTCAAATGCACACAGGAAAAGGGAACTGAATTTAAAGACTGTATTATGAAGCACTGAGCTAAGCACCCTAACATGTTAGCTTGTGTAACTTTTTTCCTAGGAATGGGTTGTCAGGCCTACTGGAAACACTGGAACACAGGAACTTCTGGTACACTTCATGATCTTACTTTTGCTGTATTTGTCAGGCTACATCATTCAATGGTACTTTCTAGGCTTCTGGATGCAGTAACTAAATTTCATGCCTGTGGTTGTATTAGACTGTTTTTCAGGCTTTTCTCTATAAATGATAAAAATATGTTTTTCTAGAATAAAACTAAAAGAAATATGATGTGCAGTAAAACAATGGTACTGTGAAATACAGCCTATGGTAAGGTTTCAAATCTTTAAAGCGACTGCAATCATTATTTCAAGTGCATTTTAACATTGTTTTAAAGACTAATTTACAGGTTTCAGTTTGGAGAGCTGAAAAGGTTGTGGCAATGAATGGTGGTGATGGTTTGCACTAACAATGTGACATCACTCAACTATACAGTTAAAACAGTTAAAATGGCAAATCTTGTGTACAATGCTACCACAATTAAAATATTAATTCATTCCAATATGTCATGATAAGACATACAAAATTTCTAAATAATTATTGTAACTTTAAATTTTTCTCAATTTGCAAACACCAGGAACCTTGCTCCAAAAGAATATGGGCACTTTGGAGGTTGTTAAGATTTACTGCACTTCACAATCACATTTGCAGTCTTGTTCTGAATAGCAAGTAATCAACTCAAGGCAGTGGCAAAACTGCTGTCAAATCAGCATCTGATGTCAACTCACATACCAGTAATATGTCACCTTAATAAATATGGGTCCTGACTGTATTAAACACTCAACTAAGGAAGAGACTAAACTGTTCACTGACCACATGTAATAATTTAGTAAATAATTTTAATAAAACAAAATGTATGAGCATATCACAGATGTAAACAACTTAATTCCAAGCTTGGAATAACCCTAATAATTATGATTAACATCACTAAAGATACAAGGATGAAACTGAAATGTAAAAGCTTCTATCTGGGATTGAGCATGAACCTGACTAATATTTGAGATTTACAGATACTATTTTTAGCTGAACTTTCTGGCCTTAGATCAAAGTTTTGCTAGCAAAATACCAAAGTATAAATCCAGGAGAGGAACCTGAGAAGGAAGGGCTATGAGCTCCATGCAGCTAATCCTACTCCAAACTAAAGACCTCCAGAAAAGTGTACAGACAAGGAACCACAAACCAACCAGAAAAACAATACCAGAAAAAGAAAAACAGGAAAAAAAAAAAAGCAAGAAGAATCAAATCACTACATTCTGATACAATATGGTTCATCACTACATTCTGATACAATACAGCTCATCATTACATTCTACACATCCTACAGAAAGATGCCCATTCTCTAGTCCGCATGCATTGTGGCCAAACAGGACTGAGTCACTCCAAAAACGATTCCAGAAACCTCAAAGGATAACCAACCGCCTCAGAAGCAAAGTTAGTGGGAAGATCGTTTTTCTCATCAGTCTCTGGGCTTCTCCCAGTAGGGCCCAGAACGGACATCTGGTTCTGGCACAGAATGTCTGATCGCCCACCCAGACTCTAGGACACCAGAGTTAACTCAATAGCGAGACTATCTTTTTCGCCTTCTCCTCAGGGGAGTCATTCACACCACTTTCCCCCTTAAATGCATCTCTAACTGCACACTGATCAAATTTGCTTGCCAAATGTAATTGTCTACCCTAACAAGACCAGAAAGATGCCGGCATCCTCCGATACGTTCATGTGTAAAACGTGTTCCTTTCTTAGTCAGTCAAACTACCAGCCTCTCCAAGGCTATTAATTTGGATTTTAAATGCCGCAGGGAAGACAGGATGAAGGGGACAGATTTATTCCATTCTACAATTCAGACTCATTTCTTGGTTTTGGTGCATCAATCTCCGGAAATTAGATTTACATAAATTAAAATCGCTACTATGGGAGGTCCAAAAGCAAGTGAAAACAGCAAAACTTGGCCTATGTGTTCCCATTTTTCTGAGAGAGCGAGGGTCGCTCTTTGTCGTGTTCTCCAGGGTGGTATGGTACTCCCAACAGAAAGAGCATCGGGCTCCTTTCTCCCAGGTTAGCACCGGAGCCCCCACGCAGCGTGACACTTTCAAACTGGCTAGCCCGGGGTGGGAAGGGCAGCCAATCCTCCACCTTTCCTCCCCAAACCGACCCGGTAGGCGGGAAGAAGAGGGGTGTTTCCTCCCAGCGCTCGGAGAAAGGAGGCAGACGAGATGTCACCAGCTCCAGGAGGTGGAAGGAAGGAACCTAGGTGGGTTTGTCTCCAGCGTCGGGTCCCCAGCCCCGCACTGCCCCGCACTGCCGGAAGCTGGGCGGGTGGGGCAAGACCTCCCCGCTGCCCATGGCTGGGTGGGCAAGAGGGTCGCAGACAGCAAGGACACCTACCAGCAGGCTCTCCACGTTGATGGGTGAGCGAGGGTCTCGGATGAGCGCCTCCAGCTTCCTCTGGCGGCCCGCGCCTGCCCCGTCCCCCGGCACGGCCTCGGGGGCGCCGGGCATTTTCCCCGTCCGCGGGGCCCGGCTCATGCCGCCACCACTGGGCGCGCGCTCCGGTCCCGCCGCCTCAGGGCCTAACGCCGCCCGAGGACCTCCGGCTGAGGCCGGGCCCAGCGCCCTCCGCTGGCAGCGGCTGCGGGTCCCTACTGCTCTCTAAGGAGGAGCCGCCCGGCCCGGCCCGGCCCCGCGAGGCGCAAACTGCGTCCCCGCCCCTCAGTCAAGACTCTCGCCGACCAGCCCGCTGCTCCCAAGCGAGCTCGCCAGGACCCGGCGGGCGGGAGCGGGGAAGTGGCGCCCGCGCCGCGCCGCGCCGCCCCGCCCTCAAGGCCTCGGGAGCGTCCAGTCCAGACTCTGGCAGCTACGGCCGCCGCCAGACCGCTCCCATGTCGCCGCCGGCCGCCTTGCACTCCCACAAGCCCGCACCCCTCACACGCACTCTCGCGCCGGGGCCCTACCCGGCCGCGCGCCGTCGCTACCCACAAGCCCCTCCGCCCGGGGCCGCCTGCCTCCAGGCCCCGCCCCCGCCGCGCGCCCCCGCGGCCAGGCCCCGCCCCTTCGGCCGCTGGCCCCGCCCCGCCGCGGGGTTGCGCTCCAGCGCTTCCTCTTCTCCGTCTCTTCGTATCCCTTCCTGCCCCTTCTCTGGGCTCTGGCCCAACGCGCGGTTCCCCGTCAACCCCTACCGTGCGTCCCCGTGTCTCCCGCCCGACCCCGCGGCCTAGGCGGCGCCCAGGTTCCCCGCCCCGCGGCCTAGGCGGCCCTGCTGACTCAGCGCGCAGCTATGCGGGCCTCACAGCGACCGCTTGTGAACGCTAGCGCCCGGGGTCAGCGCCCTTCCTGGGGCCTGCGCGCCCGGGGAACCGCGGCCTGGGGTGGGCGCGCCCCCTGCGCTCTGTGCGGGCGACTTGCTGGAATCCGGGTCTTCGGGCTGCGAGGCCTGGCACTGTTGCTTCCGCCCCGGGGCACAAACCCTACAATGGCCAAAACCTTTCTGCCCAGTCCTGACCGTGGTCTCCCAGCCGCGGCTTAGAACTAGCCATGCCGCGACAACCGAAGGGCGGTAGGGAAGTTCTTTTCAGTTCTCCCAGTGCTTGCTTTGCTTTGGGGGAGTGGAAAGGGGGCAGCCAGAGGGACCGCTCCTCCGCATTCCTGGCCTCTCGCGGCCCCGGGCCATTGGTCAGATCCTCACAGGGCGCAATCTCAAAACTATGTGCCAAGAGCTATAAAACTGTTCACAGAGCCCCTTTGACCCAGTAAGCCCATTTAAGGAAGTCCAAGTGTAAGGAAATGATCCAGAGAGGGAGGGGGAGGACTCGTATAAAGATGTTTACAGCAAAGCTATTCAGAATGCTCCTAATGACCAAAACCTGGGAGTGGACTCAGTTGTCCAGCTACTGAATAATCCTAGCAAACTCATGTCACATTCACAGGAAGAAGCCTGCTGGTATGCAGGCCCCGTTGACTATAAGAAAAAGTGTAGTGGAAGTGAAAAAAATGCAAAGGGATTATGCACGCTCTAAAATGAGCAGCTAATGGAATGAGAAAAGAGTTTTAAGAACGAGTTTATTTTTTAGCCTTTTTCTTGTAAGGATGCTGCTAAGGGGCACATTGAAATTTCAAAAATTGAAAAACTGGGCCGCTCCAACAGAAGCTACTGTGTGGTGGCCATAATAGTAAGAATCTTTAGAACTTTCTCTTTGGCTTGTCAAAGCGAAAGCCCAGAGTTTGTGAAAATCCTTCAATCAGCTCGTGTTCCATGAACAATTTCTCTCTTTTTCGGGTGAAGCCACTCTGACTTGGACTAAGGCAGGAAGAGGCTCTTGATGACGCAAGAAAGCTTTTCAGCTCAGATAATAGAACTGGCCTCTGGTCAAAAAGTAATCCTTCAAATCTGGAGGTGAATTTATTTCTTCATACCTTCCCTGAACCCCAGCAGGAGGGCAAAGCCAGCTAGGCGCTCCTCCCACTTATGTACTGGAGCAAAATAATTAGATAATCGTGATTATAGATCCTTTTTCCTGGTGACAGTATTAATAGGCAGGCAAAGGGAACACTCTGGTCTTCAGGTTACAAATTCATTTTGCAATGACTGGCTGTATATTTTTATGAAGTTTGGTTAGGTAACGAAGCCATGGTCTCAAGTCATTAAAACTTTTTTTTAAAAGTAGCTGGATCAGTCCTGGCGCACACCTGTAATCCCAGCAGTTGGGAGATGGAGGCAGGAGGATCAGGAGTTTGAGGCCAGTCAAGGCTGCATGATAACCTATCTCAAAAAACACGGAGCTGAGGAGATGACTTGAACAGTAAGTGCTTGCAACATAAGCAAGTGCAAGGACCTGAGTTCAATCCCCAACACCCACGTAAAAAACCTGCCACACACATCTGTAATTCCAGTGTAAGGGAGGTGAAGATAGCAGGATCCCTGAGACTTGATGACCAGCCAGTTTATTCAAGTTGAGGTGCTCCAGGTTTAGTGAGAGATCCTGTCTCAAAAAATAAGGTATAAAGCGATTGAGGAAGACACCCAATGACAACCTCTGATTCAAATGCACCTGTGCACACATGTATACATGCAACTGCACACATGCATGTACACAAGTACACTCATACAGTACACACACAAAGTAGGTTAAATAAAAAGAACAACACTAATCAACAAGACACACATGCTTCTACATATAGCTATTAAGAAGATCAGAAAAAGCCATGGTATAGAAGATTTTGGGGGCTGGGGAGATGGCTCAGCAGGCAAAGGTACTTACCAAGAATACCCGGTGACCTGAGTTCAATCCCAGAACCCCATGTAAAGGAGGAAAGAGAGAACCAATTCCACAAAATTGTCCTTTTACCTCCAATGTGTATTGTAGCACATACACACACATACATGCACAGACACACAATAATAAACTTTTTTAAAGATTTTTTTTTACTCAAGACCCACACCATTGAAGAAAAGACATCTCTTTTTTAAAAAATATTTTACTTATTATTTTTTGTTTTATGTGTATGAGTGTATTGCCTGCTTGTAGGTAAGTGCACCCTGGTCGTGCAATGCCCTTGGAGGACAGAAGAGGCTGTCGGATCCCCTAGAACTGGAGTTACCAACAGTTGTTAGCTGCCATGTGGGTGCTGGGATTACAGGTGTGCACTGGGAACAACCAGTGTTCTTAACTGCTGAGCCATCTCTCCAGTCCCAAAACTTATCTCTTGATAAATGTTAAACCACCTCTTGTCTATCGGTCTGGCTTTCTTTTAATTAGGTATATTTAGCTTAGCTTTTGCCAGAATGACAATTCTTGTTTGCAAAAGAAATACACATATAAATCCTTGTAAAAATTCAAACAAGTCAGAAATACATAGACTATAATCTGATAATCTTGTCTGCTAGTGCTCACTCTCAAACTCTTTTTGTTCATACGTCCATGTTCCCCTCCCTGGTTGCTTGTTGTTTATAGGCAGTCTCAGGAGCCCAGGCTGGCCTGGAACTTACTATGTAGTCCAAGGCCATTCCCTACCAAACATCTACCACCCAAAATTCCCTTTCTAGACCTTCTGACACTTCATGGTCTAAACTGAGGAGCCAGAGGTCCCTTTATATTTATTGAAAAAAGTATCCTCATTTCTAGTCAACTCAAAAGATCTGTCTCTTCCCAGGGGCTCATCATCCTGCCTCAGCCTCCCAAGTGCTGGGTTTACAGATGGGAACCATCTCGGCCAGCTCCAGCTCTCCTTTCACATGCATTATTTTCTTACTCAAAGTTGTTATACATTCGAATACTTAAGTATTTGCATAGACATAGATCTATAAATTTTCTATATGCATGGAATTGTACCATATCATAGTATTTTTCAACTTGACATCCCCCCCCACCCTCCATTATTGTGTCCTGGGATGCACCCATATCTGTAGACAGAAATCTCTCTCATGCTCTGACTGCTGTACTCTATCCTATAGTGTGAGGCACCATGCTATGTTTATCATATTCAAAAGCATAGCAGTTGAGGACAGACTCTGGGGACAGTTGCCTGAGCTACCTGTCACTTCATGCTAGCAGTGTGATCCCAATTCACCTGACTTTTCTCTGTCTTGGTGTCCTGCTTAGGAGAGCGCCAGTCCTTGATAAATGTTTTCACGTTGTCATTGACATTCTTGTACTTTTGCCTTAATGTGGAGATAAATGAATAGTAACAAAGTGGATTGTTGTAGTAACAAAGGGCAGGCAGCCTGTAAGTATTTACATATACTGCAAAACTGCCTTTTCAAAGGCTATAAGCTTGCAAGATGGCTTGGCTGGTAAAAGTGCTTGCTGTGAAAACCTGATCTTCTGAGTTCAATCTTAGGAGCCCCTGTAAAAGTGGAGGGAGAGAACCAATGCCACAAAGTTGTTCTCTGACCTCCACATGTGCATTGTGGTGCATGTACACACACAAATTAATAATAATAGACTATATTTTTAATATTTTATTTATTATTTTTAATTTATGTTTATGCGTGTGTTGCCTGCATGTAGGTAAATGCACCTGTGTCGTGCAATGCCTGCAGAAGACAGAAGAGGCTGTCGGATCCCCTGGAACTGGAGTTACAGACAGTTGTTAGCTGACAGATTGGTGCTGGGATTCAAACCTGGGTCTTCTGTAAGAACAACCAGTGTTCTTAACCACTGAGCCATCTCTCCAGCCCCCTGGACTATATATTTTTGAGACAGGGTCTTGCTATGTAGCCCTGGCTGGCCTGAGACTCACTCTTTAGACCAGGCTGGCCTCAGACTCACAGAAATCTAACTTCCTGTGTCTCCAGAGTGCTTGGATTAAATTAAAGGCATGGGCCACCAAACCTGGCCTAAACTTAAAAAATTTTAAAGGCTACACCAGTTTACATTGTCATCAGAGAAAGAAACTGTTCCTGTCTTTTCACTTTTGCCAGTACTAAATATTATAAATGTTTTTAATTGTGTCAATTAAATGAGAAAACAAAGTAACATATTGTTTTCATTTGCATTCTCCTAGTTACTGTTGAGATGGGTACTTTGCATGTCTACTTCTTCTGAAATTATCTGTTTATAGCCTCTGTTGGTTTTGCCTCTTTCCCAGGGATATTAGGCCTTTCTTGTGGACTAAGGATGTTCCTCTTTGCTACAATATATCTTTAAAAATATGTTACAGTTCGGGGCTGAAGAAATAGCTCCAGGGTTAAGAGCACTTGCAGAGGAACTGGGTTCAGTTCTTGGCATCCACACGGCAGCTCATAACCATCTATAACTCCATTTCCAGGGGGACTGACACCAGTTTGTTTTCTTTCTGGGTTTGATTATCTTTTGTCATACAAACATTTCTAATTTTTATGTGGTCAAATCTGTGATTGTTTTTCTTTATAGCCCCAGCATTTTGTGTCTGGCCTGGAAAAGATTTCAAACCCAGATTTTAGGTAACACAGGAGACTGGAGTTGCAAGAGGGTATAAGGAATTGGCAGATTCCTACTGACACCAGCTCAGTTCCTTCCAAATGAGCCATAAGAAAGGCTCTCCTTGAGCTTGTTTCTCTCTGAGCAACCTCATGCTCTGCTTTCTGCAGCATCCTGACTGTCCCAGTCCATT